TTCACTATAACTATATTAATAAGTTTTGGCTTTTATTTAATTGTGTTCACAAACAGTGGTTTACTGATACAAGTACTCATAACCCCGATCATTGTGAACTACTTGTCCATACTATTGATTATAATCTTTATATCGGCTAAACTTAATTTGGAGGCCATGCATACCTACCATATCATCAATTCATTGGTGTCATCCAGACATACAATCATTACGACTTTCAAATTTAAAGTATGTATAATCAATATGTTTACTTATAATGTTGAAGTTAATGGAAATTAGTTTTAAATGTCATTGTAATTAATAATATTAATTGTTGTGAATAGTAATATGTTATGTTTAATGATGTAAATTATTATTATTACAGTTATTAATACTATTGGAGAGGTTGGGGGAGGAAAACATAGGTTTTTATTGTTGGCAACTATTTATCATTGATACATTTCGGGGATATGAAGTTTGTATTACTTTTAATTATGATTATAAATTATATTTTTAATAATAAAAGTTTTACAACTTATGTTTTATTTCTTATTGCAGATTATTTCGTTTACGATTGTATTGTTTTTGAAACTATTAGACTGAATATTATTGTATTTTGTATACAGAATAATAGAAATATTTTTTAAAATAATGTTCTCATGTAAATAACATTTTAATCAAAAATATGATTATCGGTACAGAAAAAGATTAATTATGATTATGAAAATTTATAATTATAGCATAATTGAGATAAATATTCAAAAATATATTGTAATTAGTATAAATCGAAAATAAAAATCTTGTTAGTAAATTTAATTTTGGAGTATTTATTAAAACTAGTAATAATCATTAAATGGATAATCATTAGTGAATTTCGAAACATTATTGCACACGTTATATAACCAGACAATCATTATTATGGTCTTTAAGGCTCTTGGTCTGAGTCAGAATAAAAAAGCACAGTATTCTCAATAACCCTGATATCAATGTTTTCAATATTAGGACAACAATTGCGATAAGTATTGTAAAGCGATTCTTGATCACGATAGCAATGAACTATTAAACGGTGAAGTCGTGTCAGACGTGATAATAGTTTCAATTTTGATTCATTTTGGGTGTCAATCGTTGGTAGGGATAGGTATCGTAGTTGTGGTAAATCGGAGACTATATTTGATACAAAGGGATCAAATATTAGGCGATAGATTGAATAATTACGATTATAACTGAATGTCAAATGTGTTAATCGTTTGCATTTATTGAGTCTCGCATTGAATGTGAGCTCAACATCGAAATTACCGGAATCGCTAATTTCAAACCGTCGTATGTGTGCACCAAACGCCTCGTTAATCATTTCAATTATATCATCCGACGATACAATCACTGCATTCAACGCTAAACTCTTGAGTTGACCACAATTCACACCAATTTGCGACAAATAATCTTTAAGTTCATTGTGAAGTTCATAATAATAGTGTCTATTTGTAAAAATTCTTAAATTAATCAATTGATGCATTTGCGACAAACACTTCATTATATCACACAATAGGTCCTCATCTGTGAAATTAAAGATCACATCAATTGATCGCATACTCTGTCCATAGTTTCGCACAAATGGTTCAATAGATAGTAATTTTTGGCTTTTATTACCGAAACTTTTATAGAGAATCAGTTCAATTGCATTGAGTTTCTTGAAGTGAATCTCATTTTCCACACAAAATAGTCGCGAAAATAGGGACTCATTAGCAATAGTAGACGTAATCGTCATTTTGCGCACATTTTCACACAATTTAAGTGTTTTGCCAAATGAGTTGTAATGATTTGGATGCGGATAAGTCTCAGTGAATGCAAATGAATGCAATTGTTGGCCGTATTTGACAAATAAGTCGTGAATTGCTTGACGCGTGCCATCGCACATAAGGTCAGCAATGTATGCAAATGAATGCAAATTACAACAGTATTTAGTAATCAATTGAATCAATTCAATAGACAATTGGTTGTCATAAAAGCATATTTCAATGCTTTTGACGTATTGACACTTTTTGATAATAGTCTCAAACGCGTCAATGTTATCCGCATTAATAAGTCTACAAATTTTATCGCTAATTATGAGTTGTATTTGTGAGGTGTATATCAATCTCTGCCACTGTTTGGACAGACATTCATATCTGAATTTCTGGTCAAATGATAGATAACTCAATAAGTGTTGACACAAATCATCGCCGAAGCGGTCGAAAGAGTCTTTCGCATAGATTTGAGACATTGTTTTCACTATAATGTATTTCAATGGAAAAACCTCTTTTTTGTAAACTCAAATGGCGCAGTTACCATGGTAGATTTTTATACCAAATAAAAATTTTTTACAAACCTCGAAGTTGGGGCTATAAAACACTGAAGAGAGGATTAGGATTGGATTATCCGTTTTAGAGTAGTCCATTCCTAACGCATAAAGTTAACTAAATCCACGAGTTATATACGCAGACATAGAGTGAGTGGTATTGTACTGAATCTAGCCGTCAGTCCAGTGGTCGACCACTCCTTCACTTTCACTCATTATAACGACAATTGTTTTGATTTTTAATTCACTTTTCAATTGTTTTCGTGTTTTTCACTCAAATTTCAATCAAGTTTTCAAACAAAACACATTTATTTTAAATTTTAAAACACGTTAACTATTAGTACAAATGAAGGCTATTTATTTGTGTCAGTTATACTGTTTTGTATGAGCCATACATTTGAATACAAAACATATTGAACAGACATTTGGTACTTTTATATATAATATGATGGGGTAAGAATAATTTATATTCTTATTACAAAAAGGCTTAAAATATTAGCGCATAATTTGTATTTTATTTGCAATAACTTGCTTTTAACTTGTAAATAAAAAAAACTTGTATTACTGTTAATACTACAGATTATTTGGTTTACAATTAAATAACTATTTAAATTATTAATCAATTTTATTATGAAAATATTGTATTATGTAAACTCAAAATTATGATTTTTAATAATTCTCGTCATTTAGGGATCGGTAGGGATTGCGAGTCCTCCCTATTTTCCAGATCTTTTTGTAGGCCAACCACAGCAATATAATTACCGCAATTAAACTGGATATTACTATACCGGCTATTGTCCAACCGGTTAGCTTACGATTAGTTTCCGGATCCTTGGGGTTAAGTTCTGTAGATGTAGGAGCTGTGGGTTTACCTATAATAGTGAGGCCATCAAATGTTTTAATGAATTTTTTATAGTTTTAAAATTAGTTTATAAATATATTAATTACTTGTGGTGCTAGTCTCATGCTGGGTACTTGTTGTTTGTTCAGTGGTTGATTTGAGCATGGTACTGGAATGGTGTATTGTAGTGGTGATGGTGGACGGACTAGTATCGGTAGTAGTTGCTATTGTCGGGATTGTGGTTGCCAATGGCTTAGGACCTTGTTAAACATTTATTTATTAATATTGCAATAAATATTTTTATACACTACTGTATGTTATTATCAACAACATAATTGAATGAACTGGCTTACATTTAAATTGACCATGAGGCTGTACTTTTTTCCAGTTGTCATCGCAAGTTTCATTAGGTTTATGTTTACCGGTGTACTCACATATTGTCAAGTTCAGTGTCTCTAATTAATTGATATTTAGACAATGTTAGTGAATTGATGGTTATTTATGGCTATCATCATATTACAAACCTATTCCTTCTGAACCGCAGTACCAAAACGCACAGCCCTTCACACCGATACANAACACTGTTTGTGAACACAATTAAATAAAAGCCAAAACTTATTAATATAGTTATAGTGAACCAAATAGCCAGCAAATACTTAGACCAATAAATATCATTATAGTCCTTAATCTCGGCGTAAATATCATTCAATTCTCGTATATATCTCGAGACAAACGAATATCTCTCAGAATATTCATGCAATTGATTTACAATTTTCCCGTTTATTGACTGTATTTTCAATCTTAAATAATAAGCAATAATACAGTAATAGACCGTTTGATAGACCAATAAATTAAAGAAATATTTAGCCCATAACGTAAACACCAGGGTATGCGGTATAGTGAATATGACAAAGTTTACGATACTATCAAATCTGGTGAAACTGATTAGACCCAGGATAAAAACACTGGCGGCGTTTGAGTCTGCAAAATGACCTGTATTTCTAATCAACAGCTTGCATACCCGGGATAACTTAAATATGACTGTTCTGTCGGTGATGCCTATACTTTTGGGTGAACACAAACCGGCAATCATTTCAAATACCCTTAGATCCCGGGGCCTAATCCCTGACCGATAGTTAGCGTAACTAATTAATTGAGTGGTAATGCAATAGAAAATAGATATGTCTATAATACACGAGTTGGCCATGATACCGGTGCCGATGAAGTGATCAAAGTTACCCAGGTATAGGTGCTGAGTATCGGTCACGTGTTGCTTTGTTAGAAATAGCGTTACAATGATAATACTTTTCAATGTAAATAGGAATAGCACTGAAAATACCAGAATCGGGTGATATAAGAGACTTCGAGTGGTTTCAGTATATCTCGGCTTAAATAGGGTTA